AAAAAAAGGAAATTCAATTCAATTGAATGATCGAAGGATTTTTTCAACGATTGTAGTTTCCCTGCCAAGTTATGTAGACATTTAGTTATAAAACGACCCATTGTCAATCTTTGACTCACCTATTCGTCGCACTCACATGGCTCACGTCTACGAGAGACTGGTGGCTCTCTTAGCACAGAAAGGCTTTCTCGGTCAATTGTGACATCGTCACCCATGAGGTAAAAACCGCTCCATTTCATTGGTTCGTGTGGGTACTTTGCTCTCATGTAATTGATTGTGAGGTGAAGGCTCTCACTAGCGCTTCTCCTTACATCCCAGTCCAAGAAGTTGGTGTAAAAGATCGTCATGAACTCATACGTGCTGAAGTCACCAACCCTCCACAGGGAAACCAACACCGCTGAAGCTCCTGCAGCTAGGAATGCACGAGCAATGCCGACCACTCCTTCGGCACAGATCTTGCCTCGTGCGCCATCACACCCACTTAACACCACTAAGCGAGCATGTATGTCTTTTTCCATTATATCCTCCGGCTTTATCAAATAGGAGTCATCATCATCACCATGTTGAGGCGATCCTTCAGGAGAAAGGACGATGGCAGATGGGTTGAGTTTGATGTGGCATGCAAAATGAGCAATACAGACTTCAAAAAGCCTTTCCAGGACAGCTGACTTGGTTGCTCTTGGACCAATTAATGGCATAACACCATCAATGATGCGGGCAATTGCTTCTGCTTCCTTCTGAGCTCCTGGCAAGGGCTCCATGCCTTCAATCTGATCGACATTCGGATTCCCGATGATTAGGGAACCGGAACGAGCGTAGTAGTCTTTAGGGAAAGACTGGTGGGACAGTAAAGTTGTCATAGATGGAGAAAACCTTAGCTTTTTATCCTGGGAAAGATAGCGCTTTGTTGTTGAGTTTTGGAGAGCTTGAAAGGGCAACAAGTACAATGAACCCTCGGGAATGATGACTAGCTTGTCTGCTGCTATATCGCCCACTGGTTGAATCAGTAGCTCGTAGAGTTCTCCATATGGATTTTCTACAGAATCCTCCCCAGGATCGGTATTTTGGAAATTGTGACAGTCATTTTCTGATGGTGGGCCAGCCCTCACCATGGAGTGTTCGTCATCCTCGTTGACGGCAGTTCTTGATATAGATGGTTGTTGCTGCATTGAACATCCGCTTATTTGACTCCAAACTCTTCTGATCAGTGAATCCAATTGTGTTTTACAATTCTTTTGAGAGAACATTTTTACGACTGCTGTATCTTTGCCTTGGTCATCTTTCCCTTTTTGTATTGAATAAATAAACAAATCTTCAAAACACCAGATGTAGAATATAATCGCACATTTCATGTCCAACATGTAAGATTCGATGTGAGAATAGTTGATATCTCTCTCTTCGATTTCTCGATGGAGAAGGCGAAATTTCAGCTCTTTTGCACGGCAGCGTTCGGCTACCCATAAAGCCTCCTTTTCGCGTTCCATTTTCACGAGTACTTTGAACAATAACTTGTACATAATGACATACTGTTCACAGAGTGTTATCTTGTGGTCTTCGACTGCTATTCTGCTTACTGCATTTTCAAGAATCTCAAGTGACAATTTTTGTATTTTTTCGCACATTTCAAATTTGCCATCCAAATAGTTCACGATAAACGATACAGAAGACAGTGCAGCACTCTGTTGAGGTGATAGCAGTTCTTGCTTTTGGTCTTGAAGAATCCGAGTAGTTATATCAGCTGCTTGTTTTAAACTCATAATGCCAGGCAGTTGAAAACATAGTTGCATTGCCGGTTTCCAAGTATTTTTAAAAAAAATCTCCCCAAAATGGTTTTCAAGTTTGGTGAGGAAGTTTAATGTATTAAAAAATATCAGAGTTGATAAAAGAGGTTGCTTTTGACAAATTTCAATCAAGCAATTATGATAAACCTTGAACCTTGCAATCATTTCAATATGCAAAGTGTTAAATGTTCGTTCAAATTCCGTAATAAATTGTTCGGTAATATTGTGATCGAATTCATCATCAAGTGTAAATTGAGTCGTTTCCATAATTTCTTCAATAAACGTCCTGATGTCCTGATGTGAACTGCCAAAATAGCTACCAAAACATTTTTTGGCTGTCTCAAAATCTCCCAAAGAAAAGTTACTAACTGCTTGATGCAGGTAGACCTCACCCAAATCAGATTCCAAGGCATTGCATTTTTTGGAAATTCGTAGAGCTTCATCTAGTGCTGATAATGCTGAAACATGATCACCTAAATTTATGAGAACGATACCCTTTAATAGGTAGCCATTAAATTCCCAACGTTCATAATTGATATCATCTCTGGCTAATCTCAGGATACTTTCTGCAAGTTGTAGTGCTTCTGTGTACTTATAAGAAAAAATCAATTCGCGGAAAGGGTCTATTAGGCTTGACTTCCCCTGGTCTTGTGAATATTCAACTGCTCTTTCGCTATGCATAATGGCAGATTCAATGTCTTCGTTCACAGCACACTGCAAAGCGTTGATCTTTTCAATTCTAAAAGATGCAGTGTTTATGGTTTCAATGTCATTGTTTTCCTTAGCTATTCTTGAAGCTTCTTTCAAAGCCAACAAGGAGGAATCGTGCTCACATAACCTACTATAAACATTAGATTTCATAAAATACCCACGGCATTCCCATTTCTTGTCTTGAATTACTTTAGCTTCTTCTATGAGTTTTTTCGCATATTCTATTACATACACTTCGGGGTGCTGATATATTTGAAGATGCAAAGCAACGAATTCATATAAAAACTCCATAAGAAGATATTTATCTCCAACAGTTTTAAGAGCTTTCTCAGTGTGTGAAATGACAGCTTGTTTGTCGTTCTTCAAAACAACATTCAAAGCTCTTACTCTTTCAATCCAAAAGGATGCATCGTTAGCGCCTTTGCTATCATTGCTTTCTTTGAAGATTCTTAAAGCCCCAGTAAAAGCTAACAAGGAAGAATCGTAATCACGTACACAAAAACAGCTATAATCTTGACCTTTCATCAAATAGCCATCGGATTCCCATTTCTTGTCATTGCTGTTTTTGGCTACTTCTATGATTTGTTCTGCGTACTGTATTGCTTCTGGATGTTGGTGTAATGCGCAATGCAAATTAACCAAATCGTGTAGAGTCTCCAGGAGTAGGGATTTATCATCTCCTCTAAAAAATCCAACTGCTTCTTTGAAATGTATAATGGCAGCTTGTTTGTCGTTCTTCAAGACAAACTTCAAGGCTCTTACTCTTTCAATCCAAAATGTTGCATGGTTGGCGCCTTCGTTGTCATTGGTTTCCTCTAAGATTCTCAAAGCCTCGGTAAATGCCAAGAAGGAAGAATCGTAATCACGCACACAAAAACAGCTATAATCTTGACCCTTCCTCATATACCCTATGGATTCCCATTTCTTGTCATTACTGTTTTTGGCTACTTCAATGATTTGTTCTGCGTACTGTATTGCTTCTGGATGTTGATGTAATGCGTAATGCAAACGAAACAAATCATGTAAAGTCTCCAGGAGTAGGGATTTATCATCTCCTCTAAAAAATCCAACTGCTTCTTTGAAATGTATAATGGCAGCTTGTTTGTCGTTCTTCAAGACAAACTTCAAGGCTCTTACTCTTTCAATCCAAAATGTTGCATGGTTGGCGCCTTCGTTGTCATTGGTTTCCTCTAAGATTCTCAAAGCCTCGGTAAATGCCAAGAAGGAAGAATCGTAATCACGCACACAAAAACAGCTATAATCTTGACCCTTCCTCATATACCCTATGGAT